GATAAAATGGAGGTGTAAACGGGACCCAGCATATTTTGTAATCAGAACACTCAAATCAAATCCAGAATTAGTCAGAAATACATATGATCAAATGTATTTATTTATTCGTTTAAAGATTATTTCATATTTAATATGTTACCTTGACTGCCCATATGAGAATAAACAGCTGTACAACTACTTCATCTAACTACTATTTTGTGTCCAAATTCAGTCTAATCATTAGACAGATGATTGTAAACAACCTTACCTCGCTACACTAGCATGTTTAGTTCTTTGTATTTTTGTGAATGTTTACATGCCACAGACATGAATGTTTGGGAATGTTTGCAGTATGTCAGTCAGGAGACTAATTATTTATTATCATTCAGATCAATATACAGTATGCATAAAATTTCAGCTTGTATGTGTTTGTCATTGACAGGCCTCATTTGTCACTGCGTTTATTGGCTGCAGGGAATTGCTGTCATTAATTGGCAAAGAGATCAATGCCAATAACAACAGACTCATTTTGACTGACAGAAATATCATTTTGAAATCTTCTGATGAAGATTATGAGGTAAAAGAAAAGATAGACGGAGATGAGTGAAGGTGGAATAATTTAGAAAGACATACTGTAATGAAGAGATGGTGTACAGTGTGTGTTGACACTGAGTCTAATCTTAAACAGTCAGTCTGAGTGAAATGACCCGAGGTTGTCTGGAGATACAGACATACACATAAATGTTGGACTTGAAATAATGTGTAAAACTCATGCATTAACTTCCACACAGACAGGCAGATATTTTTCAGTGAAAACTCCAAGAATAAAGATAAACAGAAGTGCTGAGATAGACAAATTGAATAGGAAATACAGTAGTTCTCGTGTTTCTATATTTTCTACATCTTCGTATGGAAAACTGTTTCTACCTCAGAGTAAAAAGTAATTAAGTAATTTAAGACATTGTTTTAAAAAGTAATTGTTGCAATTGTGAGATATAAAGTAACACTGTGAGATATTTTTTATTGTACTTTTTATTTAGTTTAGTTATTTAATGTAGTGTTTTTTATTTTTGTCAGTGTTCTGTAATATGATATATTACAATAATAATGAACATGCACAGTATAGTTACCGTGGGTTTACCCTTTTTAGCTTCTTTTCCATCAACCGTTAAATATTTACAATATGTGTGGTGCGTTAAAATTTAGTATGATTTTTCGCATTGGTTTGAACAAAAAATTTTAAACAGCCATTCAAATTTTCATATTTGCCATGGAAAACAAAGCGAACAGACAAAACAAATACTAATCTGGAATAAACCATGCCAGTCTAGAAAAGCTAGCTTGGTGGAAAATGTTTTGATTCTTTATTATTGTTCTTTATGTTCTTCTGCACTTTATTCAAACATTTGTTTACTTAATTCATTATGTACTGTATATTGTTACATTGTATTTGGATGTTCAGTGTTCCCCTTCCCCCCCCCAGAGAGAGAGAGCCAGACGCTTCATCTATCTTCCTCGATGTGATGAGTGTCGAGACAGAGGAGACTGTGGACTCGGTGTCGTCGCGTAACGCTAACGACGGATGCCTCTCTCACGGGCTGGGGAGCAGTCATGTGTGGCCGCTCTGCCCAGGGTCTGTGGGAAGGCCATCATCTCTTTAGGCACATCAACTGCCTGGAGATGCTGGCCGTGTTTCGAGCTCTGCCACACTTCCTTCAAGACCTAAGGGGGCATCATGTGCTTGTCCGCACAGACAACACATCGGTGGTCTCCTACATCAATCGGCAGGGGGGTCTGCGTTCGAGCCCCTTGTACAAGCTGGCGCGCCAGATCCTTCTGTGGGCTCAGGGGAAGCTCCTCTCTCTAAGAGCAGTTTATAT